TTTCAGGCCTGGAAGCTACATTTCAGTGCACTTCTTGTGAGTGGACAGGAATCAAAACGCAAAATGGTTTTCAAAACCAAGCTGTTCCCTGGTGTTATTTTGCTTTGCTGAGGATGACAGAGGAGCAAATGCTTTGCATCTCCTCTGCACAGTGGCCAGTATGATACAGAGCCACTGTGAGGGACAGTCCCGTTCCATAGCCTTCCCAGATCAGCACTTTCCCTGTTTGGAACAACCCTGTGAGCAGCCTGGTTAAAGAAGTTCTGGACAGAAAACAGGTTTCAAGACCTGAAGTGACTTGACTTCTTTGCCTCACTTTCCCACTTATTTTCAACAAGTGTGATTCTGGCCGGGCTGTATCCATTAATGGTGGTTAGTATCTCACTGATGTAGCATGTCTAGAACCTAGGTTGAAAAGCAAAGTGTGAAGCAGCTTCTGAGAACTTGGTCTTCTGAACATCCCACTGGAAAGCAGCTCTTACTGGGACTATCTAACCATTGCCTATATCTGAACAGGAGCTTCCTAAGCTGCCCTTTGATGACTTCTTGAGCTTCTACCACTAAGCACCCAGGATGGTTGCATTGCACTGGGCAACTTCTATCACTGCTAGACCATCTACCCTAGTCACTCCCTTAAACAATGAAAGGACGTGGCACATATGGAAACTGAGCAGTTTATGAGGTCCATAAGAAATAGCTAAGGTGGAGTCTCCACATGTAAAACCTTGGTCATACAGATGCAGTGATGTGGCCTGCTGAAGTGATACCTGATGTGCTGGTTTGGGCTGAAGTAGAGTTAACTTTCTTCACTGTGGCTAGTATGGGGCTATGCTAAGGATTTGTGCAGGGCACAGAGTTGATAATGTAGAGATGTTTTTGTTGTTGATGAGCAGAGCTCACAGAGCCAAGGCCTTTACCAGGCAAGGAAGTTGTGGGTGCATGGGAGATTGGGAGGAGACATAGCTGGGATAGGTGATCCAAAATAACAAAAGGGATATTCCATACCATATGACATCATGCTCAGTATATAAAGTTCCACGTGATGGGTCCCTGCTCTCCTGGAGATGCTGAACACCTCCTGCCCGTGGAAAACAGTTAATTAATTCCTTGTTTTGCTTTGCTTGTGTGCATGCCTTTTGCTTTCCCTATGTAACTGCCTTTATCTCAACCCATGAGTTTTCTAGTGTTTACCCTTCTGATTCTCTCCCCCATCCCACTGATGGGGGAGTGAGTGAGCTGCTGTGTGGTGTTTGGTTGCTGGCTGGGGTTAAACCACAACACCTGTTCAAAGAGGTCCATCTCCTAGATGGGGTTCTTCTAATTTACCTCTAGCCCATTCATGGCCAAAGTGCTTGTGTGATCATAGCAGATGAATTAGGCCCTTGAAACAGGGACCTGGGGTGGATCCTCAGCATCTCAGCCAGGTCTGTCAGTCACAGAGGACAGACAAGTTCAACCTCTTCTCAAATCACTGATTTCTCAGTTTGCCTTAATTTCCCTTATATATCACCTAAATAGAGCATAGATCCATCAGGAGACCACAGGCATATTAAGTTCAATTTTTTTCTCCAGCGAGGCCTAGAGCTGCCATCAGGTGAGCAGTGTGAGGCCCATACAAGCTTTCCAGTAACCTGAAACATACTGATGTCACCAGAGGAATCATAGAATCATAAAGGCTGGAAAGGACCTCTAAGATCACTGAATCCAACTGGATGGGTGGGAGGGAAGTAGAATAAGGCTTCATTACACTGTTATGTGACAGAGGAAGTCCTAGGAGCTAATGGAAATACTGTGGAAAGAAGTGTGCACAGAGAAAAACACCTTTGATTTGATTACAATAAAAAATTTATTTTGATTAATCTCATACTGAAAAATTAAATAAATAACATGTCAAAGAATGACTGAGTGAGACTCCCCAACATCAGAGGAAAGAAAAAGCTTATCAATCGTGTAGTAAAGAAAAATAGGAAGAATATCTGGTCATGGGAGTTAAAAAGTGCTCAAGAGATTTGGCTTTGGTAAAAAACATAACACACACTCAAGGAGTGCTTCAGAGACTTTGCAGTGGTGGCAAATACAGTCCAAGAGTTCATAGCCTTGACATGTTGCTAAATGTTTTCCTTGGTTGTTCTTTTAAACAGAATAAACCCAGCAAGTTTCTAGCAGGAACACAGTCCTCAACAATGGTAGTGGGAATTAATTCTTCCCTCAACATCATCTGTTGGTATCTTCTTCTTCTGAAGGCATTTGAAAGAGCAGCAAAATTGTGGAGAAACTGAGACAAAGATCTAACAGAACAGTTATCTACCTAAAGGACTCTTGAAAAAGTTCCTCTGGAATAGAAATATGATGGCACAGACTATCCCCATCCTACATCTGGAGAGATCCACTCTCTGCTCTCCTCATGCTCTGAAAAATGGGCATCAGTGGTACAGAGTTACTGCTTGCTGTTGGCAAGAAAATTAAATGGGAGTTGCAATTTATTCCATGATGAAGACACTAAATCTATACACAATAGTATGAACCATGAGGTTTTATATGTGCTGTCAGAGGCAGAATATTCAGGGGAAAATGGGAAATTTAATCAGAACAGGAAAAAGAAACTTCCTGAACACCACAGAGTAGAATGTAGCTGTCTCTTTTTACCACTTTCTTTGATTCCAAACTGTCCCTTGTGATAAAAAAAATAAATCAATGGGACATGGGTGCCAAACCACCATGAGCTTTTTGCCAAATCTTTCAAAAAATTACTGAAAAAGCAATGACATGGTTTTGAATTACTGGCATCTGTCCATGAGAAAAAAAAATTAAAATATTTGAAGCTCCAAAATCCAGCCACAGTGTGAAGATACCACTGGGATCTTCTCCTGAGATCTTCCATGGAGTCTTTTTCCTTTTAAAGTTGCTTTGCTTGTATGACTGCAGGATCTCACCA